ATACAAGTGTTTTGAATATTGTAATAAGCAAGACTACACTGGGATTGCTATATTTTTTTCATATATCTTTGTGGCATCAATCCAGCTAGCCTCCAATTTCTACAAGGTTAGAGAATACAACACAGACACTAATATGATGCCACTACAGATACTTCTAATAACAGATTTGGGACCTTGTAAGCACTCATTACACAAATATTGAATTGACTTTTATGCAATATATGTAATTTAAACATTTGTAACCCCATAATATGCTGAATAAAAAATATTTTGTGTAGATTAAAGTTGCCTGGTTTAAAATACGAGGCACAAAGAAAATAATGTCCAATTGTCAAAAATTTTGAAAGAAAAATATATAAGTACACTAAACTAGTGGTTCTCAAAATGTCTTCTCCAGACCAGCTGCACAAGAATCACCAGGGAACTTGTTAGAAAGCCTGCAAACTTCAGTCTCTAGTTCTGACCTAGTGAATCAGAAACTCCAAGACCAGAGGCAAAAACGATGTGCAGTTTAACAAGCCTTCCAGCCAACACTATTTATGCTAAAGTGTGAGATCTACTGCACTAAACAATAATGGTACATTAAACAGAATTGTTTTTGTAATTATGTAGACTCTCCTTTAGGAGTTGGAAGGTATAAGGATTAATGTCATTCAATTATAACAAATAATTACTACACTTTAATCAAAAACTACACTAAAATCCATATGAAAATACCCCATAAGACAGAGTCTTCATCCTCTAGTACAGCACTGCCCCACAGGACTTTCTGCCATGATGGAAGTATTCTCTATCTCTGCAGTCCAACTGAAATGTGTTTAGTGTGAGTCAGAGCTGAATTTTTAATGTTATTTAATTTTAAATAATATCAATTCAGATAGTTGCATGTGGCTAGTGGTTACCACATAAGGCAGCACTAGCGGCCCTTTCTCCAATTGAGGCTGTTAGATATTAAATGAAGATCTTCAACATTATATGAAATGGGATAATTTCTCAAATAGTGGGAAGTACAAGGAGAGTGTTTACACACTAGAAAAAGGGACATTTGGGCTGGGCCTTGGTGGATGGGTTACAATTTCAAAAGACAACAATGGGAGAGATTGTAGATAGAGGCTATGACATAGCAAAAAAAATGCGCTGGTATACAGGGTGCAGAAATTGCCCATATTGGTTTGTGCCCAAAGTACATGTTGTGAAAGTTTGAGAAATAAAGATGAAATGTCACTGCATCCAGAATATGAAAGGCTAAAAAGTTTGTACTTTATTCTTTAAAAAATAATAAATATTTTAGGCAAAAGAATAAAAGAACCTAGCAGATGCTTAATTGTGAAGGATGCATTAAGTGATGGAAGGAGGCAATGCAGGAGAACCAGTAAAATGTAAATTGTAGGCAATAAGAATACCCATTTAGGAATGTTTCATTTTAATTAGACAATGTTTTGAGCTCACAATTTGCTACTACACTAATTATCAATGTTTATAAAAGTATGTTCTACTTTAGCCAAAAACATATGAGGTACTAGGTTAACAGGCCAATTCCTGGATTATCCCTACAAACTCACTAAAACAAAATCACCAAGTATGAGCTTCAAGAATCTATAAAATGTTTAGCAATTTCAATGGTTAATTTTTAGAGCACAAACATTTTAAAACTACCAGCAAGTGATAAATAAGAACCTGATTTAGATAGATTCTGTATATAATTATGTGAATATATAATATATAATGATTTGGCTGCAATATTTGCTGACCTTGTGGCATACACTGATTTTTAACTTCTTTATTTCTCCGTTGCACCATCCCCCCAAAATTAATAGGTTAGGAGAATCAGCTATTTGAGTTTTCCTCTATGGGGTCATACAAAATGACATGTCAGATTAAGTCAACTATCTCTATAACTTAGCCTAAAATCATTTTCACCTGAAGTAGTCAGATAATTTAGGAAATGGAATCAGGTGTTAAACTGTTTAAATGATTGCATCAGCTTGATATGTTCCTACATGAGCAGACATATCCCTAGCATGTATTCCCCATATATTCACATTCTCCATTTGGCAATTTTAGGAGTCATTATCTTATATTCCTCTTGTCATTGGGATTGTTCTTTTTTAGTAGAGGATGACACTGTATGGACTACTCTTCTACACTTCTTTCCATGGGAGAAGGGCCCCAAACAGTATATGAATACATTTCCATGTCTATCTGACTGTATAGTCAGCTAAGAACATATAATAAAAATAAATATTTTCATTTGTTAGTATATCTTGCAACTTATTAGCTAGTTAAGGATTTATAATGAAGAAAAATATTTCCTTGTATTTATATCCCTTGCAGCCTATGTAGACTCCGAGAGATTGGGCATGCCATTAACTCAGCAAGGGAAAAGAATGGGAAGAAAGATTCCAAAAGGAGCAGCAATTCTGATGTAGTGTCAATGGTGGAAGTAAACAAAATGAAAGGAATCACTTCTTTCTCCTCAGCCACACTGCAATAACTAACTACTCTGTTCACAATATTCATTTTCAGGGTAAGTGATTGAATTGTGAAGCATGAGCATTCTCCTGACTTCATTTTACCAGCAATGAATTCTATTTACTGCATGTTGAAGTAATTTCTGTTAATATATTGCTTTTGATATATGAAATGAGAGTAATGGACACACTCTATAAGAAAGAATATACATTCCTACCTGACTTACAAAATGCAGTTTCTCTTACCTGGTGCAATTGATTAAAAATAAAATATCAGTATTCATCAGGGAATTCTTGGCACTATAAATGTCTCTGGCCCTATGGTGTATTAAAGATTTTTCTTTATATAATTTAAGTCTATTACTAACTACTTGCATTTTGTTTATGCATCCTGGATGCTGAAAAATTGGGAATCTACACTCAGAAAATAATGAATACAACAAACATTTACGTTCCCTACATTAAATATTTATAAAATCTTAAAGACTACTAGGAGCTTCTTCCATTTTTAATTATAATTGTGAAGTGAAAACTGTTCAATTATTCTCTGAAGAGATACTTTACTACGCCCTCAAATAGTTTTTTTTTTTAAATAATGCTAGTCTATTGTTATAATTTCTTAATATAACTGGCTACTCTATGCAGTTTTATAGCTCAGCTATAATGGTCAGGGAAAAATACTTAATTCACATTATAATAGCAATGGAGTTATGCAAAACAGTCCATATAAACCTAGTAAATAATAAAAAACAAGTTGACTATGTTCTAATGGACTTTTAAAAATGATCTAATGTTTCTTTTCCAAGTATTATTTTTCCCAGCAGATAAAACTGCTGAGGCCATGAAATAGAAAAATGCTCTATTTCTCCACTGTTCTAGTGTACAACTAGATATACACACAGCCATTTTACAATGCAAGGGCTTTCCATACAGCCATCCTCCCACCTACCTACTGCTTGAACATCAGAGGAAATTTCATATTTTAAAACAAAGCTAACATCACACAGTAATAATGGCCCATTCATTAGTTGTGAACTCAAACCATTTTACAAGAGTAGTCAGCAGGTTAGCTCAGCTTTGATTACAAATAAAATTTACGAAATAAATCTAACATATGACATGACTTGTAAGTCTAATCTTCACATAGCAATCAGGCATATCAGGTAAGAAATGTTTTTAAAAAAACTATCATCCTTAACTATATTTGTACCTCCATAATATAATGAAATAAAAAAATTAATAAAAGATTATCATACTGGAACTGCTTTTACACATTAAATAACTGTTATATATCTTAAAGTTTTTCTTCGGTATATACGATTAGCAATGAAAATATGCCCGAGTCTAGGCACCTTGCTGTTTTCTTAGTCTCCTGTCTTAGGTCCTCCAACACACCTCTCAGCAAAACTGTTGACCCAGTTTCTGTTTTTTCTTACCTTGACATCACTTACTTCTGAAGAAACATCCTCTCCAACTTCTATTAATAAGTTCTTACCATTTGGTGTATAGGAGTGCTGGAGGACTAAATTCAGTGGGAATTCTGCACCCCCAGGTCTGCCCAGCAACTGATAACGTAATCTTGATGCCTGACAGGGTAGGGCAGGTCTGGTATAATTTAGGTGAGAATTCAGGGCAGCAAGGCCCATGCCACTTTGTACTCATCAGTGTATGGTAATGTTTAGAGAGCAACAAGGCCTCACGCTTCATTAAACAAAGCATGAAGAAAGTTATTAATTCTGGAAAGATAGTACGTTTGGCCATGAAACAGTAAAAGAATAAGGAAGTATATTTTAAAGCCTGCTATGTGAGAAAGCAGAATAAAAAATGTGAAAACTTGCCTGTGTGAAAGAAAACGATTTGGTACAAAGTGCTCAGGAAGACGTAGCCAAATGGTCTTGATGCCAGAGTGGGGTTTAAATGTACTGTGGGGAGGGTCGACTCTAATGGATATGTCTCTCAGATGCTTTGTAAATGGACATATCTTTGCTGGATTTTTTTTTTTTTTTTTTTTAGTGTTTATGTGTTAATGGTTAATGACTACTGCCCATTTTTGTGAAATATTCGATGGTACCATGTAGGGAACAGCATTATGAGCAATGGCAAATTGATCCCTTAAGAAAACTGAAATCATTAAAAAATACATAAATTAAAAGATCCGCATTTCCATTAGGGATAAATTTCTTCTAGGGAGTTCCTAAACTACTTAATGAAACAAATGGGGACTTTAGAACAAAGAAATGCTTTACATTTGCTTTAGAACTCTAGGTTTCTATCTATCAACAATTTGCTTCTCTGGGAAAATTTTCAGATGAATTACGCAGTCCTACTTATCTTGCACTGCTTCTGTTGCAGCTTTAACCTGAATATATTTCGTAAGTACTTCAAAAGAAACCCAGAGCAACTGAAAACGTCCTTTCTTTTTCAGCATATGAACTCTACTCAAGAGTACTGGAATTGCATTTTATATCTGGTTTGGAACTCAGTTCTTGAGAGCTGAACATAATCATCCTTAATCCTTTGGCTGCTTACTTATTACTTTGAAGAGTGGGGAGAAAGGTGCCTCTTTTCAGTTTGCTCTCCAATCCGTGCTTCTTTAAAGAGTGCAGGTGAACAATCTATATTTCAAAGAAAGATGACCTTTACTTGATTTAATGGAATCTCTCTTTCAATATCTGAAATGAGAAAGTGATTAAAGCTTTGGTTGATAGGCAAGATGTATTTTAGGAATAGATAAGCATAAAGGTCAGACACTGTCAGTAGGATTTTGACTTTCTTTAATATTTAAGTACTTCGTATGAATCATGGTTTATGCATTAATAGTATATTTTCAAGTTAGATTTAAAAGGCCTGCATGTTTTATATAATTCAGAATTGGTTTCTGACCTAGGTAAAGATATTGGGTAAAGCAGGTATATTTTTGTTGGGATTTTCATAGCGACTATAACTATTCTGTTCACAAAAGACCCTATGAGAAGATACTGGTCATTTGACATACTGCTTTAGAGAATTTAAAATTCTGTTTGATATGTTTCTAACTTATAATTCATTTGAATTTCAATAGCCATGTTTTGACTGCCACCTATATTCAAGGAATTTTTCTCAACAAATGAAGAGAAAAATAAATTTAACATTTATTAAGAACTCACTAAGTATCAAGTGTTTTTCTAGGTGCTTTACAAGTATTAATTTATTTAATCCGATCCTAGACCAGTGCTTGACCCAAAATAAAGGTGTGTTGAAAGAATGAATAAATAACTTTATGAAGCAGGTTTGTTTATTGTCCTCATTTTATAGATGAGAACTCTGTGACAGAGAGAAGTTAAATAGCTCACCCCTTGCCCAAGATCATAAAACAAGTAAGTAGATCCCAAGCTAGAGCCCCAGTTCTCACCATGATGCTTTGCCATGAGTTCTTAACACTAATAATAGGACATAACTTATATTTGCACAGGATTGTATACAAAACACTTTTGCTCACCTTTCATTTATTCTTAAAAACAATGAGATATGTATTTTATCCCTCTTTTAAATGTTTTCATCTATACCAGCTACTGTTTTCCACACTTTATAGGTAAGTGCTTGGATGATTACCTAAATGGCAATTATATATGGTGGAATGTATATGAAATGACAGAATTATGTTTAAGACAACTATTAGGGGATTATAAAAATAGGTTATAGACTATTTCTAGATCAAGATATATTTAATTGAGGAAGAGGAATTTGTGATGACCATTCAAGGAAGGTTTTGACTATTGTAAACATCTCAGACTGAGAGAACACCAAGAGTAAGACAAAAAGGCAGGTAATTAGTGTGAGATTATAAATACTTCCCGGAAGTCAGCTTGCAGTGTGATTATAATGCCTTCTAGGTTTCCTCTGTGTAAGAATCAATGTGACCTTCCCTGACATATTCTCAGGGTTGTTCATGAGCCCCAAGGATGACACCACTGACTTCCTTTATCAAGCCTTTACTCTGCTCCTTGTAAAACCCAGGATATTAAGATAAATCATAATTAATCAGAGAGAAGACCTGGGTGATATCTTGGTCTAATGTATATTAGTGGTGTGATGTTGGCAAAATAATTAGCTCCTTTGAATCTATTTTCTCATTTGTAAAATGGAGATAACTGTTACTGTTACCTTCTGAAGAAAGTTTTCTGTGAGACTGAAATAAGAATATTTCAGTGAAATAAGAATATTTCACAATATAATGTGCATTATAAGGGCTGTGCCTTACAAGTTACAAAATATTATATATATCTATGTCATATATAATGTCACCACCATGCAAAATATTTCTTCTAGTTTATCTTTTCTTCTACCCTTTTAAGTGCTGCTTTTGTCACTGAAAACAAAATAAGAATTTTATTTTCTTATTTTCTTATACTTTTCTATGAATACTCTAAATAATATATGAAGACAATATAGACTTGGGAAAAAAAGGCTTATGGTTTTGTTTTGTTATTTTTTCCAAGATGGCAGATCACAGGCTTGGTTAGTGTACCCCACCCACTATTTGGAAATGGCGAAATAGTGTGTAGAGATTCACACTGGGAACTTTCATCCAAGAAGGACCCAGGAAGGAAGCTTAACATAAAGTGGAAGAAACTTCAGACACTGAAAGGTGTGGTAGGCAGCAGCCTGTGCTGTGGGTCTGGTGAAAAGTTGGGAGTTCTCAGAGTGTGGGAGTGATACACATTCCCACTGGGGAGAGGTAACCCAGGACATGGGGGGAGCCCCTTGACCCCACCGAGCGCAGCATCTGATGTGGAAGTGGTGCGGAGCCTGACAAGGAGAGACACTGGGAAGTGCTTTGCGCATGCTCCCAGACCCCAGATCCCGGCACCAAGAGAAGTGGCCATTTCTGATATTAACTCATAGGAGGCTTTGTGGAAATCTACCAGCCATCACAGGTTCAGGAAGGCTCTGAACCAAGATTTGCAATCTACTCTTCAGCAGGAGAGGACCACCATGGCCAGAATAGTGAGGTGAGGTGAGGGTGGCACAGGCTCCTGCCACAAACGTGGGGGATTGGGCAACCCTCAGTTTGAAGATCTGGCCTGGGAGGGGTGCAGCCTGGAAGCTGTGGGTTTTGTCCCAGGAGGGGAGTTTTGCAGCCTGTGGCAATTTTGTGATCTGAGCACAGACTACTTGTGACTTGGCTGACTGTTTGAGCTTGCTGACAGCAGTGGGCTATGGAAGGGAGATTCGCAGGATTAGGGGATGGGAGCTAGGTGGGTCCCACTACCACCTGCTAGGCTGTGGAGCCTGGATTATCCCTCACACAGGCTCTCTGCAGACTGTTTGGCATGTGCCTTTGGTGCAGCAGACGTGGCTCTGCTCCTCACCTTGCAAGCTCTTTGGCGCTGCAGAGGCGGCTCTTTTCCTCCTTGAAATGTGCCCCTAGTGGCCTGAGAACTGCCATCTGACTCCCATTAGGGCTGGTGCTTGTGCCCACGATTGGGGAGCCTGAACACAGGCTTGTCTGACCCACCCCCTCCCAATTTTGCCAGCCCTGCTTGGTGGCAGAACATAGGACAGGAACCTTTGGGAGTTCCATGGCCCCACCTATTACCTGGGACATCCAAATACTTCTTCTGATTAAAAAAAAATTCAAGCATAAATTCCACCACTGCCACAACAGCTGGCTCTTTCCTGCAAGCACAACCTACTGCCTGGAAGGGCAACATGCACAGCCCACTACCACATTTGCTAACACAATTGCACAGTATTGGGAAAGGAGACAAGATTTTTGAGACTTCAGCTACTACCACTGCCCACACCACCCTGGCTACTCAGGAGACCTTGAGCCTGTTCATGCACCTGGTACATTACTACTACAACTGGCATTTTAGAAAGACACCAGATTAAGGTATTTATAACCAAGGAAATCTTACAAAGTCAACACCATTCCCCTGCCATCTCCATCAAGGCTGGTGCTTACACTGGAGGGCTGACCTGCCTAGGCCACCTCCACCCAGCTTCAACACAGCCCCTGGGGCTGAGAGAAGAGCCTAGGACACTGGGGATTCCACAGACCAGTCCATGGCAAAGGTAGCCAAGAGCCTGCCTAGTAAACAAAGATCAAGCATGTGCCCTACTGCTACCACTGCAGCCATCTCTTACCTGCAAGTGCTTGAAGGTTGAAATGCACAATCCAGTACAAATTTTGCTAACACAGGTGAACAGCACTTGGGAATGATCAAAGCTTCTTGATATTTCTAGCACTTAGACTCCACAGGAGGCCAAGAACATACTCATATGCCTAGTATACTGCTATTACACTCAGCATTTGAGCAAACAACCAAACTGAAGTTATCTATAACCAAGAAATTTATATAGTGCTTTGGTCATTGAAAGCACCAATAAGCAAAGTCAAATGACCCTACTCAACATACATTACAGTCACATCCTTAGGGAGAGGGGAAGTCACATACAATTGGAAGTAAATTCATATGTAAAAAGAAGTGACAGTTTCTCCAGAAGAAAAAGACTCAGCAGAACAATTTTTGTAGTATGAAAAAACAGGATATTATGATACCCCCAAAGGATCACACTAACTCTCTAGAAATGAATCCTAACAAAAATGAAATTTTTGAATGGCAGATGAAAATTCAAAATATTGATTTTAAAGAATTTCAATGAGATCCAAAAGAAATGCGTAAACCAATTAAAAAAAACCCCAGAATATAAGCTCAGGGTAAGAATGAGAAATTTACCAAAGAGATAGATATTTTAATTTACCAAAGAGATAGATATTTGTTTTTTTTAAAAAAAAAAAACAAATAGAACTTCTGAAAATGAAAATAATCATTGAAGAAATTACAAAATATAATTGAAATCTGAAACAATAAACTAGACCAAGCAGAAGAAAGAATCTCAGATCTTGAAGACACATCTTTTGATTAATCTGGTCAGACAAAAATAAAGAAAAAAATGATTTTAAATAAAAGAACAAAGCCTTTGAGAACTATGGGATTACATAAAGCATCTGAAATATGAATTATAGGTATTTCCAAGGGAGGAGAGAAAGCAAAATGTTTGAGGAAATAATTGAGGAAAATTTGCCTAGTCTTGCTAGAGATTTAGACATCTAGATACAAGAGGCTCAGCAAGCTCTAGGAAAATACACTGCAAGAAGGAATTTAGAAAGACCTATAGTCATCAGAATATCTGAAGTTAATGTGATAGAAAAAATTCTAAAATCAGCAATATAAAAGTGTCTAGTAACCTATAAAGGAAATCTCATAAGACTAACAGCAGTATTTTCAGCAGAAACATCACAAGCCTGAAGATACTGAGGTCCTATTTTCAGACTTCTGAAAGAAAGAACTATCAAGCACTACTTTTGCATCATGCTAAACTAAGCTTCATAAGTTAAAGAGAAATAAAGTCTTTCTCAGAGAAGCAAACACTAAGGGAATTTATCACCACTAGACCAGCCCTACAACAGATGCTCAGGGAAGTTCTAAACATGGAAATGAAAAGTTGATACTTGCCATTATAAAAGTACATAAAGTATAAAACTCATAAATCTTATAAAACAATTACACAAATGTGACTACAAAGCAACTAAATATCAGTTCATATTATGAGGGGAACAAAAACCTCTAATATCAGTAATAACTTTGAATGTAAATGGATTAAACACTTCACTTAAATTATATAGATGGAAGAATGGATAAAAAATGAAATTCAGCCATATACTCCTTACAAGAAACTCCTCGCCTGGTAAAGACATTTATAGACTGAAGGCAAAGGGATGGAAAAGATATTTCATGCAAATAAAAACAAAAAGTGAGCAGGAGTAGCGGTACTCATATCCAGTAATACAGACTTTAAATCAACAATGATTATAAATAAATAAATAGATAAATAAGGTCATTATATAATGATAAAGGGATAAATTGAACAAGAAGATATAACAATCTGCAATATATATACTCCCAACACTGGAGCACCAGGATTCATAAAACAAATATTACTAGATCTAAGTAATGAGATAGATGACAATACAATAATAGTGGAGGACTTCAACATCTCACTGACAGCGCTACACAGATTGAGACCGAAAATCCAAAAAGAAACACTGGATTTAAATTAGATTTCAGACCAAATAGACCTGTCAGATATTTATAGAACATTCTACCCAACAACTTCAGAATATACATTCTTTCAACAGCGCATAAAATATCCTCCAAGGTAGACCACATTTTGGGCCACAAAAGGTCCCAATAAATGTTTAAAAATGAAAATTATATCAAGTGTCTTCTCAGAGCGCAATGTAATAAAACTAGAAATCAATTTCAAGAAGAGCATTTGTAACTATAAAAATACATGGAAATTAAACAACTTTCTTCTGAATAATCTTTGGGTCAGCAAAATCCCCTAATGCTCAATCATTTTGCTAAGAGTTTATTTTGTCTTCTTACTTTAACATGGCTTTTCCCCTCAGGATTTGGCTTCCTATGAAACCCCCCAAATGCCCATTGGCCATTTCATTTTCCTGTATTCATCAAGCACTAAGCTTATAGGGAGGGTAGTTGTCTTTCTTGCATCTCATGCCCACTTTCAGATCATTTTTTCCTTTCCTCCTTAAAAATAGTATTCAGTCTCAAGGTCTCAAGAGTATATTACACTTATGGCTCCTTACTTAAGTCATTTGCCAGTCTCAAGATCATTCCGCATTCATTTCTTGAAGATTTTAGCTGGCTCATTGTTTCCCTCTCTAAATTACTCTTGCCGTATTCTAGGCAATGTCAGTGTCTTTATATATCATCCTTTCAGCACATAGTCTCTCAGTTCTTTCACTTCTCCTCCACTACTCTTCGTATCAAAATGCTCATCACATTGCTTCTTAACTCTCCCCACCTTACCTCAGCTTCTCTCTTCCTATGTCAAACATTAACGTTAACACACCTCCCCCCAGAATCTCAAATTCAATCACTTAACTCTGACTCCACCTTTTTCATCCACATAACTCCATCTAGCAACCAGACACCAATAATTTCTTGATCCTTCTAAGAATCTTAGTTCAGTGATTATTTTTCCTTTTTGTGGCCTCTCATCCATTTTATGCCCTCACTGCACTTCCATCCAGCTTAAATTCCTTGTGACATCAATGTAATCTCTCCTTATTTTATTACTTTAATAATTTTGCTTATTCTCATTTCTCAGATACTCGTGGAAAATACCCAAACCATTAAATATCTGCTGCCATGGCATATGTACATGCAACCATGCTAACTAGTTTCCCTCTAAGTTGCTACCACTGTTATCAATGACCCATCTGTTGTAACAATAGGACCTTCCTTCTCAGGTTTTAAAAGAAATTTCTTCTGGGCATCTCCACGGGAATGTATGTATCAGTGCCTTAACATCAATGAGTTCCAAATCAACATTTATATTATCTATTAAGTCTAATATCTTCTGGCAATTTTCATGTAAATGCTTAGCATTGTTATTTAGCCAGCCATCCAATGTAGAAAAGCTAGAAGTATCCCTTTTTACTTTACCATTTTCTATATTCACCATATCTAATTATCTAGACTTATGTATTGTTCCTCCTAGATTTTTCTCAACTAGGGGTACCTTCTCATTTTTAAAATCACTGCTGCAATTTAAGTCTTCGTCATCATCTATTTCTTAGAAAATGTCAAAATTCCTTTCTCATCTTACTGATTGACAGAACTTCTTTATTATACTTGTTCAATCCAAGTTCTCACAGATAAATGAAAACTGACAATTTCAGCTCCCTGTATAAAACAACTAAGGTGCTACTTATGTTGTAGTACTTCTCAGACTTTTCCAATAATATATTCTAAATGAGTAAGGAAGAGTGGCTTACCATGTACTTTAAAGTTTGTCCATTCTATTTTATAGTGCCTCTGTTTTTCCTGGGATTAAAAAAAAATAACATATTGTGATTTGGAAAATCTTCCTTTCTGTAATCCATTTCAGTTTTCTGCTTGTGGCTTTTCCAATAGACTGAGAGCTTCTCTAGAGAAAGGGATCTTTCTTATTCATCATTATTTTGTCAGCATGGTGCATATTGTCAGATTCATAGGAAGAACACAGTATATTAGTCCAAGGAACAAGCAAAAGGAAAAAAGATGTTGGTGACCAGTATTCAACTAAAATCTAAAGATAGAAATCACATATTCAGATACCAGCTCAGATTGAATCATATTTTTTTCTACTTCTGCCTACTTCTGCCTAATAAGATCGTGACAATTACTGTGAAAATTCTATTATACATGTTTTCTTTTTTATGATCTATATTCTTGGTTTTCTTGTTTTTGTTCTATGTAATTGTTCCTTATCTTTCAGATTTTCTATTTTATTATAACATATATACTCCTTTCCTTCTTATCATATTCTCAGAAATGCCAATTAAAACGTCACTTAAAATGATTTGGCAAACACATTTAATAATACCCAATATGTGTTTTCACTAATTCCTTAGTATGACAATTCCTAATTTTTCACTGGGCACATGGCCATTAAGAATACAGATGTAGTCTCCAGTTTCCATTGCAAGCTAGTTGTGGCCACGTGACTAAACTTTTGACAGAAATTCTCTGTGGGAATTCCAGTAAGTGGAGTTAAAGGGAAGACAGACCTTGTTTCACCTCATCCTCCTTCCTGCTAACTGGAATGTGGATGCCATGATATGATCTGTAGGGCCTATGGTGGACCACGAGGAGGCATAAATCTGTGACTATTGTGGAGCCTTCATACAGCCATGAGCTACATTTCATTTACATAAGAGACCAACTAACTTCTTATTTTGCATAAGAGACTGTTTTCATGAGGTTTCTGTCTCTTGTAGCTGAACATGATTCTAATTAATGCATCTGAGGAAAATTTGTCATATTAACAGATGCCCCCTGTGTTAGTCTGTTTGTTGTTGCTATAAGGGCAATGACTAAGGCTAGGTAATTTATAAAGAAAAGAGATTAATTTGGCTCATGCTTCTGCAGGCTGTAAAAGAAGCATAGAGCCAGGATCTACTTCTGTGAGGGCTTCAGGTAGCTTCCAATCAAGCTGAAATCAAAGGGGGAGCAGGTATGTCTCATGTACAGAAAAGGAACAAGAAAAGGAAGAGAGGGTACTAGGCTCTTTTAAATAACCAGCTCTTGTGTGAACTAATATAACCCAAGAACTTGCTCATTATCACAGGGACAGTACCAGCCATTCATGAGGGATCTGCCCTCATGACCCAAACACCCCCACCAGGCCCTACAGCCAACACTTGTAATCAAATTTCAACATGAGATTGGATGGGCCAAACATCCAAACCACATCACCCCCTGCATTCCTATTAGAAAAAGGACTACAGTGCCCCCAAAGTCTTGGATTTGGGGAGAACTCTTCAGCATTAAAAAGGAAAAAAAAAGAAATTGAGATTCAGTCAGATATGGTATATCTACATATGATAAAAATGTTTATAGCTGGTATCAATAATGAACAATCATATTTAATTATCATGAGGTTAAAAATATGCATGTAAATTCTCATATGCCAACAACACCAACAAAAAAGCCAGAAAGACATTTTTAAAATTACTACCTGGAAAATTCTGAGTTGCTCTTAGAAGCAACTAAATGCAAACACACTCTCTCACTATATCATAAGATCAAGAAGAAGCAAAAATAGTACCACAAATGATTCATACTTTCAGCATTACTAGAAGATGGAGAACTCCAGGATCTTCAGATTCCTCAAAAATAGAAAATAAACCAACAAATTGCAATAGAGCTGCTAAGGGAGCTCTGTGCCACAGCAAGCCTGTGGGTGCAAAGAGAAGTGGAGGGAAGCTCAAGAGAACACAGAGGAAAAGACGAGGGGGCACAGAACCATACATAAAATACTGGCAAAATCATCCCCCAGGAGGGAAAAGCAAGTTCCAAGTAATAATGTAATGACACAGATCTGCATCTTGGTAAGCCACAACACTAGCTGCAAGGAAATGAGCAGGACCTTGAACTGACCAGCCTTAAAGAAATACTGATTCGGAGGAAGAGAGAAATAGATTAGAAGCCACGTCATTCAAAAATGTGACAGTGACATTCTATAATAAAGACATCTGCACAAGAATGTTTACAGCAGCACAGTTCACAATTGCAAAGATGTGGAAACAACCCAAGTGTCCATCAACACATGAGTGGATTAATAAAATGTGGTATATGTATACCATGGAGTTCTACTCAGCCACAAAAAGCAATGGTGATATAGCACCTTTTGTATTATCCTGGATAGAGCTGGAGCCATTCTACTAAGTGAGTTATCAAAAGAATGGAAAAGCAGCACCACATATACTCACCATCAAATTGGTACTAATTGATCAACACTAACATGCCCATAGGGAAAGTAACATTCGTACGGTGTCGGACAGGTGGGAGCGAGTAGGAGAGGTGAGTAAATCCATACATAACAGATGTGGTGCGCACTGTCTGGAGGATGGGCACACTTGTTGTGCAATGCAAAGGCAATTTACCCCTGTAAATTTACCAAAGCATTTGTACCCCCATAATGCTGAAATTAAAAAAAAAGAAAACAAACAAAATAAATTCCTGATTAGAAAAATTTACAACACATATAGAATAAGTGCACTACTATATTTGGTTTACAATACTGACCTACTTATAGATCACCTTGGGCCTATGGGTCCGTAGCTTTGATTACTTAGTAAACAGGCAGTACTAAGAATTGCCTCTAGGGGAACTCCTTCCACCCACAGGCTTTTATGATTAAATATACATCAATAAATACCTGACCTTATAGGAAAAAAAAATGTGACAGGAAGGCTAGAAAAAGGGAGAAGGAAAAAATTAGGAATCTTTCATAGGTGAGAAAGATTCAGGGAACAAAAGACTTCCTCTTCCCCCTCACCACTACCAACAATATCATGCATTAAGGAGACTGCATTCTACCACACTGATGAAGGCCATCTCTTAAACTAGGCATCAAGTATATGAAGTGGCAACAGAAGTGAGAAAAAGAGACCAATTTCATTGTAAGCTAGTGTAAGGAATAAAAAATGAGGATCAAAATATTTCAGTTAGCAAATATTCATCCCAAAGATCTAAATAAATGTAGGAAGAAATGTAACACAGTAATCTAATTCTGTGTCTATAGAATCATAAATTAAAAATTAAAAATAGAAAAATATTTAAAAACAAAACAATAAATGAAATGAGAATCTATTGTAATCAGGAGATACATCAAAGAAAACGGCAAAAACCATATCAGAATTAAAAAGGCCCCCGAGAAAGAAAAAATTTAAGTAAAAATATGATAAGAGGCATTAAAGAAAGACAGAAAAACTAAGGGAATAAAAATGAAATTTTAAATACAGAAAAAAGTTCAGAAAATATGAATTTAAAATCAAAAGTAGGCATAAAAAGTGCCAACATAAAATTATTTGGTGATCATGAAGAAAGGAAACTAAATAAGCAACAAAATTAATAATTAAACTACAATCCAGGAATACTGTTCAGAAATATGAAAAAACCTAAATCTGAAGGGTCTAATCTATGAACTCCAACACAAATCCTGGTAAAATTTTTAAATTCTAAGATAAAGAAATTTTCAGGACTTCCAGGAAAAAAAAAAAAAGATCAAGTGATCTCTAAAGAAAAACAATTATGCAGACATCAGCCTTACAAACTGAACAGGACTCATGAACCAGCACTTGAAAGAGAGTCAAGGCAAGAATGATGAGCTAGAAATTTTACACACAGTGTCATTGTCTTTCAAGCATCATGACTATTGAAAACTGATATAAAATTGCAAGAACTCAGAGAGTACTATATTCTTAAACCCTCGCTGGAGAAACTATGAGTGTCTGCATTTTATTCAACAGAGATTTGATTTGGATAATCTTAGCAAAAATAATTAAAATGACTATCTAAAATATTGAATTTCAGACCAAAGTATAAAATAAGGGTAGAGCATGGATGGAAGAAGAATATATTAATATTATATGTCTTGTTGAAATTGAAAAAAAACTACCTGAAAGCTGGAAGAAGAAGGTGAAAGAAAGGAAGAAGCAGAAAAAGAATGTTGATTGTTCAAAAGATAATAGATGTCAGTCAATGGATATCATTTAAAATTGGCAAAGCAGGTAGTAAAGTTGAAATATATAAAGTAGGGGATTAAAGGCACTGAGAGGAGATTATTGAAACAAATTTAAATACATATAAAAATGTAGTAGAGGGTAAATAACCATTTACACATGTAAATCTGAAATATATCATCTAAGTAAATGTTAAATATATATACACACACACAAATATTAAATGACTACATGTGAAAACATGGGTGAAAACATGGTGGGACATGGGTGAACATTTTCTAAATAAGCCGGGTAAAAATTATCTTTTTATATATGTCTCAAAATCCAAACCTAATAAATTTTTTAAACTGATATATCTGTATATATTACAAACAATAACTTTTTCTTGTAAATAAATGTTCTAAAGTGGAAATGCAAATTAAAAATTAGAAGAATTTGGAATATACATTAGATATGAAGAGCCAAGATTGCATATGTATTTTTATTAAATATGTATACATGTTTATATAATTTTATAAATTCAGGCAATAAAAGTTCCAAAGAACTACAAAATGGTGAGTAAAAAACATGAACAATTCACTTAAAAGCACAAGACTGGCTTTAAACATGAAAAGATGTTCAAATTTACTCATCATAAGTGACCCTCATATTCAAACTACAGTGAAATACCATTCCTCACCTATAAAATTGGAAAAAATTAAAAAGATGGATCTCACACACTGTTGGCAAAGCTGTAGGGCAAAGAGGCACTTTCATACATTGTTATGAGAGTACAATGCATAAAAATTGATTGCAGTGGAATTTAGAAATATCTAA